TCTGTGGCAGAGTATTGGAACATTTATCGTAGAGCTATTCAGAAAGTAAGTTTCTGTCTGAACAGTCTCTTTTCTTGTGTGTGGGTAAAACAACAGTTAATTCACATTAGTGTCAACAAAAGCTGCTGGACGAACCAAATGTGGCTCTATTATACTTTACAGTCTGACGTTCATGCATTGACACTGAGTTGTTCTGGAGAACAGCCAGAGAGCTCAGAGGAGAGCAGAGAGATCAGTGTGCAGTGACGGCTGCTGCAGAGCAACAGGAATAAAATACTGCTGCATGTTTTCACTGCAACACAACAATGAATCCTCCAGTCTGCTGGACCGGCCTCAGAGTCGCCTTAGAGGGCAACGAGTCCGATTTCAATATCTTTCAGGACTGAGGCAGAATGTCAGGAGAAATCTATCTATCTATCTATCTATCTATCTATCTATCTATCTATCTATCTATCTACCTCTGCGGTCGTGTCATTGATTCTAGATACAAAACTCTTCCCTGTATCTTTTTCTCCATGATCTCCTAACACCACCCTGGTCTCCCCTCTGCAGTGTATCCCCAGGTCAGGAACAGCAGGGGGCAGGGTTGATTTAAACTCACCATCAGTGATCTGCACCTTTCAGCAGCACTCTGGACCCTCATAGAGGACCAGGATTCACTGCATGCTCTGCCCTGTCCTCATAAACAAACAGAACAAACAGCTGCCGGGATGTACCTTTTCTTGGCCTGCTTCTCTCGATCAGGGCATGTTTAGACTATGTGGAGGTAAAGTTTACATGTGGTTATGTCTGCAGTCATCATTGTGTTGTCAGAGTACTGATGGGAATGAGATACATTTTTCAGCAAGGATCTCAACACAAGGATAAAAAAAATTCCCAAATCCTGGTCAAACTCATTTAGAAGTAAAACACTGTAAGAAATTCATTTATAAAAAAATAAAAAAAAGTCTTCAATATGTGACACATTCTAGAGGGACACATTTGGCCACACAGGCTCACACTCGAGGGGGCCCAGTGTTGATGTCTAAAAATGTTTTTGGGAGCCAAATTTAGTATGCCAGTAGAGGACATCTTTATCACTGCATGTATGACTTCACTAGCTGATCTCATTTATCCTCACAGTATCTGATACATTTTTTTAAATGTGGGTTTTGTCAGCAAATGCCTCTAGACATCTCTGAAAACTCTGAAAACATCATAGACAGTGGGGCTCGGGTGTTACACCCATTGTAGACAGTCATGACTCACAGAGTTATTTTCAGAGGACATACTTGATTTCTACATTTAAGGGTGAAAAATCACATATTAAGCCTTTAAGCATTAAATGAACTGCCAAATTTCAATTGCAAATAGTTTTTTAGTTCCTGTCCCTCTTTAATGATCCCCTGCTTGAGTAAAGATGACAAATGTAGATTAAATCTGGCATTAAAGCGCATATTAACCACATCACCCAAAAAAACCTTTACAAGGATCTCCATTAATAAAAATATAATTTGTAACAGCTCTCTTTTTCTTTTTCTTTTTTTTGTGATGGCTCAGCAGCGTCTCAGTGGAACAGCCACAGCGGAGCATTAGGGAAAATGTCAGACCAACCAACCAGACAACAGCGCTACCGAAACAAAAATTGTCATCAGTCTCAGTTTACATCAACAGAGCTGCACACAGGATGCCAAACATACCCAGTGTGCAGTTATTCAGCTCAGCCATTGTTATATTTACTCTCCGGGTGATGAAGCTGTTTCATGAGGTGATTTATAAACACAAAAAAAGTCTTAATTATCAGATCAGAGCGACTAACAGATATATCTGCTGATTAGAAGTGTGTTGAATGTAAATCATGGACTTAAATCTGACACGTTAAGGGTCCATCACAGTTTGCATTGCAGCAGCTGTTTATGTGAAGGACTGCAGGGGGTGGTGGCATTTGTGCACCGTTCCCAAGAGGGCCGGGATTACCATCAAGGATGAGAGTGTTTAAGTTTAGCAGTAGTGGTCCAGTGGAGGGGTGGAGGTAGGGAGAGACCTGCAGAGTGGATCTGATGCGGGGATGAGAGGGAGAATATTCCCCACTCATGTGAGTCACCTGTTGCCACCACCAACTAGTCCAGCATGGACCTCGCGCTGCCATATATCAGTCACACCAACAGAAGGCGGGCGGGCCGATGTTGCTGCCTGCTACCTTACATGGCTCTTCATCTGCCCCACTGTTGTACACAGACCCACAGCTATGTGATGATCTATTGTTTAGCTGCATTAAAACTGGAGCCGTCAGAGAGGACAGCTGCAAGGTGCTTCATGGAGGCAAATTCTGACTAACATGCTCCTGATTCAGATTCCTGGACAGCTGCTATTTCTGGGTGGGATGATGGATTAAGTGTATCGGCTTGTTTTTATTTGGTCAGTAAAGTTAATTAATCCTTTAAAACAGGGACAGTATCACTTCACACGTGAGCCTGTAATATTTTATCTTTTAATATGACGCCTCATTACACAAATCTCACCGTCAGATTAGCTTGTTCATTTTTGATTTCAGTAAATAATAATTCCACTTTAACTCTTCTTTATGACTGTCCTGAAAGTTTGGATACACACAATCCAATCCGTCCAGTTTCAAACACACAAACATAGACTAAAGTTAAATTATGTGGCATTTGTCCCTGCTGTTTTCTATGTTATCTTTTATGATGAAGATATTGGAATCTATTTTGAGCATATAATTAATGCTATGCAACCTCAGAACACAGAATAAAATAGGAGGATTCAGCCCCACTACAGGAGCTAAAAAGATTAATAAAGAGAAAGGTATAATGCTGCTGTATAAAAACTTAACAATGAGAAAAGCCTTAACCCCTCCATATTAAGTATTTTTTGTTTTAAACTTAAGGTACAAATTGTTACCGTAAATGCTGCTGTACTTTTACTGGAGCCACATTTTTATTTCACTGTTTTGATTTGTTTATAATGTGTTATTCTCGCTCTGTGACATTAACATTTTAAGTTGAGAAAACGAAACAGGCTTCTTCTTTCTCTCTTTTTGTCATTGTTGACATTGGTTGAAATATCATTTTTTTTTACATTTTAAAAAACTTCTCACATTCTGAACATCAGTAAACCTTTTTAAAAAAAAACTTTAAAAACTAAACCTCTTGCTCTCGTGTATTGTGTTATTTCTGTCTCAAGAGACCTCAAACTCTTCATTCAGTTTGTTCACACAGCTGGCTTCCTGTCGTCGATGTTTTAACCTCTCCAGTGCAGCACTTTGTTCACATGTATGTCTCTCTTATGAGTTATGAGCACAGTCAAAGATAACATAGTGGATAGAGTGACAACAGAACCTGTGCAGGGGGAGGACAGGTACTCTTACACATACCTGACCTCCCAGTCCTTACAGCGCCCGACAAGAAATCATCTCTATCATAACCTGCATTAGAAGGATCCTTGGAGAGTGTTCCTAAATGTCTGCATCCTCCCAGACTTTGACATGAGTAAAAGTTGTAGTTTTGAATGAACTGTTAAATTTAATCATCATATAGTGGCTTACCTGCTTTTCTCTTGTCTGGAGGATCAAGTAGGGGCTCTGTATCTTCCTCCTAAAGGGGATTAGTCTTCCTTTGATTCAGTGGAGAAGCTGCAGGTGATGATGTGGCGATGAGCAGACAGTCACAGTGCGGTTACGGGATGACTTTCTTCTCTTGCTGAGTCTCAGCAGGATCTGGCTCTCGAGGACTTCGTCTGACTAAAACACCAAACTGTTAGTCCACAGGGGGGGGGGCATGTGAAGAAAGGGAAAGGCATGACGAGAGTGGCCCTCCCTTCTGTCTCTCCTCCTCTTACTCCCCCACAACTCCCCCCTTTCTTCTTACATCCCTGGTGCTCTATTTTTTGCTGGGAAGCTTACTCCGGCAACAGGAGGGGAAGTGGAATTGTTTTCTGGGATCAATGGCCATTCCGTTCACAGACAACTTCCACAGTGCTCTGGAGGTCCTGTTCAGCTTCCGTCGTCGTTCAGACCGGTCCATCCTAAATGCAACTTTACTTTTTTTTTTTTTTAAACGTTCAAACCTTGAAATAAATCAGCTTTTGTTTTTGAGATATGTTTTGGTTCAAGCATGTGCATCATAATAAATTAAGCGATACATCTAAGACAAATGAGATTTCATCTTTATTTTAGAGACACATTAAAAACTTTAAAAAATAGACAGACAGACACAGAAGACACAGTCATAAAGTCACATGATACCTTGAGGCCTTGGTGGTGATACAGTACATACTTTGTTCATCTCTCTGACTTGCTGGCGTTTCTCCTCCTCTTGGAGCTTTTGCTCCGGGTTTGGGATGTGAACAAAGAGTCACAGACAAAATTCAGATAAGTTATTCTCCTCTTTGTCTTCCTTCCTTTTCTTCACCGTTTTTTGTTCTATGAATGCAGAACCAGGATGATCTCTATACTGCGAATACCTGCTGCAGTACTGGCTTCTTTATGTACTGGGACTCTTTGAGCTTTGATTCCTCTTTGCTGAAGGGTCAGTGCTTATTTGAAGATATTCAAATAAATGCAGGTCATGTTGTCTGGGCACATGATATGCATGGATGAACAAATCAATAAAGAATTGTATTTTCAACTGCGACTAAAATCCTGCATTTGCATAATTTTCAATCATCACATCTTTCTTTTTATTAGGGTGCATCTTATCCATCCATCCATCCATCCATCCATTCATCATCCATCCATCCATCCATCCATTCATCATCCATCCATCCATCCATTCATCATCCATCCATCCATCCATCCATTCATCATCCATCCATCCATCCATCATCATCCATCCATCCATCCATCCATTCATCATCCATCCATCCATCCCTCCATTCATCATCCATCCATCCATCCATTCATCATCCATCCAGCCATCCATCCATCCATCCATCCATCCATTCATCATCCATCCATCCATCCATCCATTCATCATCCATCCATCCATCCATTCATCATCCATCCAGCCATCCATCCATCCATCCATCCATTCATCTTCCATCCATCCATCCATTCATCATCCATCCATCCATCCATTCATCATCCATCCATCCATCCATCCATTCATCATCCATCCATCCATCCCTCCAGCCATCCATCCATCCATCCATCCATTCATCATCCATCCATCCATCCATCCAGCCATCAAACTATCCAGCCGACCATCCATCATCCATCCATCCATCCATCCATCCATTCATCAGCCATCCATCCATCCATCCATCCATCCATTCATCATCCATCCATCCATCCATCCATTCATCAACAATCCATCCATCCATTCATCATCCATCCAGCCATCCATCCATCCATCCATCCATTCATCATCCATCCATCCATCCATCCATCCAGCCATCAAACTATCCAGCCGACCATCCATCATCCATCCATCCATCCATCCATCCATCCATTCATCATCCATCCATCCATCCTCCATTCATCATCCATCCATCCATCCATCCATTCATCATCCATCCATCCATCCATCCATCAAACTATCCAGCCGACCATCCATCATCCATCCATCCATCCATCCATCCATCCATCCATTCATCATCCATCCATCCACCCATCCATTCATCATCCATCCATCCATCCATCCATCCATCCATTCATCATCCATCTATCCATCCATCCATTCATCATCCAGCCATCAAACTATCCAGTCGACCATCCATCATCCATCCATCTATCCATCCATCCATCCATCCATCCATCCATCCATCATCCATCCATCCATCCATCCGACCATCTAACCATCCATCCATCTGACCATCCATCCATCATCCATCCATCCATCCATCCATCCATCCATTCATCATCCATCCATCCATCCATCCAGCCATCAAACTATCCAGCCGACCATCCATCATCCATCCATCCATCCATCCATCCATCCCTCCAGCCATCCATCCATCCATCCATCCATCCATCCGACCATCCATCTGACCATCCATCCATCCATCCATCCATCCATCAAACTATCCAGCCGACCATCCATCATCCATCCATCCATCCATCCATTCATCATCCATCCATCCATCCATCCATCCATTCATCATCCATCCATCCATCTATCCATCCATCCATTCATCATCCATCCATCCATTCATCATCCAGCCATCAAACTATCCAGCCGACCATCCATCATCCATCCATCCATCCATCCATCCATCCATCCATCATCCATCCATCCATCAACAATCCATCCATCTATCCATCCGACCATCCATCCAGCCATCAAACTATCCAGCCGACCATCTATCATCCATCCATCCATCATCCATCCATCCATCCATCCATCCATCATCCATCCATCATCCATCCATCCATCCGACCATCCAACCATCCATCCATCTGACCATCCATCCATCCCTCCAGCCATCAAACTATCCAGCCAACCATCCATCATCCATCCATCCATCCATCCATCATCCATCCATCCATCCATCCATTCATTCATCATCCATCCATCCATCCATCCATTCATCATCCATCCATCCATCCAGCCATCAAACTATCCAGCCGACCATCCATCATCCATCCATCCATCCATCCATCCATTCATCATCCATCCATCCATCTATCCATTCATCATCCATCCATCCATCCATCCATTCATCATCCATCTATCCATCCATCCATTCATCATCCAGCCATCAAACTATCCAGTCGACCATCCATCATCCATCCATCCATCCATCCATCCATCCATCCATCCATCCATCCATTCATCATCCATCCATCCATTCATCATCCATCCATCCATCTATCCATCCATCCATTCATCATCCATCCATCCATTCATCATCCAGCCATCAAACTATCCAGCCGACCATCCATCATCCATCCATCCATCCATCCATCTATCCATCCATCATCCATCCATCCATCCATCTATCCATCCGACCATCCAACCATCCATCCATCCCTCCAGCCATCAAACTATCCAGCCAACCATACATCATCCATCCATCCATCCATCCATCATCCATCCATCCATCCATCCATCCATCCATCCATCCATCCGACCATCCATCTGACCATCCATCCATCCATCCATCCATCCATCCATCATCCATCCATCCGACCATCCATCTGACCATCCATCATCTATCCATCCATCCATCCATCCATCCGACCATCTGAACATCCATCTGACCATCCATCCATCAAGCCATCCCACCATCCATCTGACCATCCATCCATCCATCCATCCATCCATCCATCCGACCATCCATCTGACCATCCATCCATCCATCCATCCATCCATCCATCCATCATCCATCCATCCATCCATCCGACCATCCATCTGACCATCCATCATCTATCCATCCATCCATCCATCCGACCATCTGAACATCCATCTGACCATCCATCCATCAAGCCATCCCACCATCCATCTGACCATCCATCCATCCATCCATCCATCCATCCATCATCCATCCATCCAGCCGACCATCCAT